GAATATGAAATATATATTACGCTTTGCGTAGATATAGAAATACCATTACGCTCGGCCCATAAAATTAGACACTTATAATTATACGAATTTATTTTCGTGTTCGTGTCTCGTATATTTATGCGCATTCCAGCGAGATAAGCGCGAGCCACCGCCGCGCGCTGATGAGGGTTAATTTTCGCGGCGACCGTTCTATTCGGGAATAACGGAGTCCGATCGTTCGGGAGAGTCCAATTTGTTCACGGCGCGGAATCCGGCGTGAGATCCGTTATCGAGCCGTCCGAGATTCTTTTCCGTAGACACGAAAGCCGCCGCCGCCGACGCCGCCGCATTCCCGCGAAATTATTGCCTACTGTGGTAAACTCTCGGACCTTCCGCCGGCCAATGCCGGGTGTCTCGGAATTAGAATCGTAGAGGAGCGGCCTCGGGAAGAAGCGGGATGGAACTCTGGTCCCACAATGAGAAACAGAGATGTTGAGAAACCGTTCGCATGAGCACCGTGAGAGAGAGAGAGAGGACACGTAGGGCATAAGCATAATGCATCCCTTTGGATATCCGCGAGCACAGAAGCTTTAATTAAAATGTAGCGTTAATTAAGATTTTTCGTTTATATTCTTTTAATGCAAATTTTATTATTTATTTTTTACGACAAGTATATATAATTAAAAGAGCGAAGAGAGCGAAATTAATAGCAGTTCTTTAAAGACGTACACGCACAGATGACAATTTTTTATTCTTGAGAAGTCATTCGTCTTTTTGTGAAATTTTCGTACAACGAACGATGAATAATTGCAATTTTTTAAATGACGGTTGTTATTTCTGTAATTACTATTTCGTGGCTGCTATTGCAATCGATTCATGCCTAATGATTTCGCAGAAACTATCTGGGGATTGTGAACGCGCAATCGACTCCGACGCAATTCTAATGAGGGAGCCTTAGATTTTAATAAGTTCCTAAGAAAAATTCCGACGGCGGCTCTACGGCTGTGCGCGATCCCGTCGACCCTATGCTGCCCCGAGGACGTTCCCATGAGTCGGGGGCGGCCACGCCGACGCTTTCGTAGGCTCTGGAAGATGCTGGGTCCGAGAGAGCACCCGGGGGCCATGCCATGTTCCACCTCGTGAGCGGTGCGTGCAACCGCGCGCTCTCACAAACACGTTATTACAGGAACCCTTAATAACCCGGTGCGAAAGTTAACCTCTGCCTCTCTTTTTCTCTCTCTTTCTCTCTTTCTTTATCTCCCTCGAAGAGACTTCCTTTCGTTTCTTCTTCCTCGCTTCGATCCCAACTATCGGATTAGCTGTTCTTCCAACAACGTACACAGTAGCCAGTTGCCTCTCGATGCAGCCTCTGACATATCTTGTGGCTTTATCGACGGTCAGAACTGACGAGAAGCTTAATTCGTTTTTTTTTCTTGGAAACTTATTAAAATCTAAAGTTCCCTCATTAGAATTGCGTCGGAGTCATTGCGTAGGGTTAATTGAGCCTTATTACGCTTCAATATTTTTATTAATCTTGACAATAGGCAATAATTGCATATATAATTTTCGATTTTATGAGTTTCGACAATTAGGTATATACCGTTTTAAACAAGTGTAATATATGTATAAGTTATTTAAAAAAAATTGTTTTAATAAAAAATTACGAATTTTTAATTGTCGAAGATCATTAAACTTTACATTTTTTTTTTAAATGTGAAAAACTGATTCCAAACAGTCGATATTAATTCGTGAAACATTTAATGCTTCAATACTCCACGGCTTCAGTTCTTGTTTTCCAAAGATATTCTTTGGAGGATTAGCTTGTAAAATGTCTAGCTGCGTAATCAAAGCAGCAGATGTAACAAGGAATGCGAATAATTTCACTACTGGTGAACGCATTTACGTCGCATATGATTCGCCGCGAATATTTCGCGACGATGTCGCGATGGGATAAACCAGGAAGCGATGCGAGGCAAGAAGTTCTTGGCCTTCGCAGATCAATGTCGACAGAAGGTATATTTGCTCGCGCGGTCGTTCGTTACTCGCAACGCTTCCGCGAGATGAAGCTTTCATTCTGGAAATAAATTGTCATCATTTGCGACAATTGGTTTCTTGACACAATTTAATGAAAAATTATCGACATTATCTGTCGACAATTAAATATGGACAACGCAACTTTATATTTCTTTATATTTCGAGACAAGTGCTGAATGTTAACGATCAAACTTGACGTATATCTATCTGACGAAACCCGTCATCGTGATCGATCGAAAGGACTGCGGTATAAATAAAACGCATCGTCGTTTTTATACAGCATGGCATATAAAAGTGAAAATAAATAGGAGCGATATCTCACGCCCTTCGTCGCCGAATGTTCAGCGGGAGCGCGCTGTCGCGAGTTATTTATCGATTCTCGCAGTCCTCGCAGACGGCGGCGCGCGGCGTCCCGGACGGCGCGCTGGCACGTATCGCGCGTCACGAAGAGACTCTGCATCTAACATCCCGCGAATTTCGGTATTAGGACCGTATGAAGGCCGGCCGTGTGCGCGGGAGACGAGAGTGCCTCGGGAAGCGACGACGCGGTCGCGGGCTCGTCCCCGGAGCCAGCGACCGGAACACAACGCGCGTCTCTCGTTGACGCGCACGACGTCGTATTCATATTAGTAGGATCCCCCGACGGCGCCGGAGGTGTTTTCGGGCCGCCGCGCCGGCCAGGTCCGGGCGAGATAGTCCGGCGGATTATCATGCGCGTGCATGACGACAAAGGAAGTTTAGCTTGTAAAGCTGATTAAACCTTAGTTAATCACAACCGAGCAGGCCGGCATGAGGTGACTGGAGGTGTACGCCCGATCCCCCTTCCCTCCCAGTCGACCGCGCCGTTATCCGCTCTCGCGATAGGGGCGTTCACCGTCTCCCGCTCCCCGGGCGTTCTCCCCCACGGCTCCTCTCATACGCGCGCATGTCCTCCAGTCTGGCCCCAGTTGCCCCCGCTTCCTACTGAGCTCTCCCCTGTCTGGCGCGCGACGGTACGGACTCCTCGGGCACGTGTTTCCCCGGTAGCGGCTCGTGCGAGCGGGCGGTCCCGCGCGGCAAACCGACGCGCGCGACGCGCGCTCCGCGCCGCTCATGTTTGCCCGCTGCGCGCGACATAGCAACTGAATTCGGTACTGCAGTCCGCGAATTCCGGAGATTCTGCCGTCATACCTAACGGCCGCGCTCGCTCGTCGATACTCTTGTCTAGGGTGTTGCGTATTGCGTGCGGCTGCTCCCTTTTCGCGACGTCCGCGACCGCGGTTTTCCCTCCCGTCCGTTTGCTCTTCCGTTCCGGAGGTCGAGGACGAGGAGAATAAGAGACGGCGTCGAACGCCGGCACGAAGCTTCAGCGCTGCGAGATCAGATACATTGACATCTCTGACGGAGGAGTATCAATGAAAATAATTTATTCTTCGGGAATGAAATTCCTCACGTCTTGCTGAAGGGAAAACACCCGCAAGACTGTCCTTCTGTTTCTAGCATATGCTCGCTTTTGGCTCGTTAAAACGCGCGGACCGTCAGATCGCGGGGATCCTACGTACTGATGCACACGAGGCGGAGAACGAGAGTGATTCTCCCGCGTGCGCGCGTCCCAGCGCGAGGACGCGGAGAAACGCGAGCGGATAACGGTGGTTCGACGGAGAGCGAGCGAGTACGGGCGGGGAAACGATAGAGACAGAAGTATGAAGGAAACCTCCTCGGACAGCTGATCCCCTGGCACATCGGCGCAGCGCCGCAGCGCCACGCGTCACGGCGAGCACCATCGCAACGCGCGGCGCCCTTACGCCGGCCACCGCGACGCGGCCACGCCGTGATACGTTAACGCGCCTTTGACTCCTTCCTGCCGACCATCGTCGCGATGCTGCGACGGCGCTGCTCCTCGAACCGTCGCGTCGGGCGCGGGCGTCCAGCAACGTCCGGCATATGCGGATGACGATGGGAACGGGGCAACAGCGTGCCAAGACGCTCGAGCACCTTAAGCCAAGCTGATCTGAAAAGTTTTACCGCACGAGAAGCAAAAGCCGCAGTCTTGAGTTATCTAAAACCCGCTTTAGACAGTCTTTAGTTCGTGTCAGAACTCAGGATAGAGTTCTGTTTTTCATGTTATGTAATATGAATGATTACACACATATAAAAAATGTATATTAAAATACGACGCATATATAAAATTATAATAGAAAACAAACGCGAATTATAGATTCAAAATGGGCTTTAAAAAATCAATTAAACCAATTTTTGAGTTAGAAAAAAACTTGCGTTTGAGAGACAAACTTATTCTTGGTGACATGGATTTTGTTTCAGTAGAATTTTAATTCGAATCTTAGCGAGACAGTTGAATAATAAAGATATACTCTAATAGTTAGTCGAGGGCATTTACGAGTTTCAGTCTATTAGTTTAATATAAGTATTAGAAATAATGAGTCGTAAAAAAGTTCTTTTTATTCTGCCTTTGATATATGTATGATTTAAAAATCACGATTTAAAAGGCACTGATTCAGTTTGGAGTTGCTGTGTTTATCCAGCATTCGACGCCACCTCTTGGTCAGAGAACATACGAAGAAGCAACGGTCATTGTTCAGCAACTTGGCATACTGATGTTAACAATCAGTAGGATGTCTTCATGGTAGATGGCAATACTGATGAAGTTGAGTCTCTTTACCAACATACGTTCTAAAGTTAATTCACTGATCAGTCAGGCACTGCGCTGGTATCGTTAATGACAATCATCATTTGAGATTTTATCTTTGTCGTTGATATCATCAATCAGATTTTTACTAACGTCGGTAACTGAATGTACAGTCTCTATTATAAAAATCACGTACTTTCTCTGTTTCATAGAAATCAAATAGTAAGTTGAATGTGTTAAAAAACTTGTCATATCATGACATAAATAAATTTATACATTGGTCAGTTACATTATTATTTAGTTATGATAATAATGTGTATATTTTAAGATTTTAATTAGTCATTTTAGAGGAAATTTGATATAAATTTGCTAAAAATTGTATATTTATTTATATAATATCGAGTGAACACACTGAATTTTCTACTAGATACTTCTAGTCGCGTGTCTTTTCTTTTCTCTTTCAGTAACTGTACGAACTTATACTATCAATAGAAAATGAGTGTAAAAACGCACTCAATTATTCTATATTATTCAATCCTAAACTTGGCAAAACTAAAGAAGCGATTTTAACTCGATATACATATACAATTGTGATAAAAGCTATTAACCCTTAAAGGCTACATTTCAAGTCTCAACCACTTGAGGCTACACTGTCGTCCGTATATGGACCTCGCAACTTTGATCGCGTATAACTCTGGATCTAATCAACTAAATTTAAAAAAATTATATATTAAATAGGGTAGAAAAGATTGAAGAATATAATAGAATTTAAAAAATTGCTTATTATTAATATTAAATTGTTCAAAAACATCAATTTTTGAAGATGTACACGCGAAATTACACTTTTATGAATAGGTCCATATATGGATCTCCTAGTGGTCTTTAAGGATTAAAAAATTGGTTTTACAATTACAAAAAAATTCTTTTTAACGCTATTTAAAAAAGTAAAATATTAAATTATAATAAATTACATCGATTTTGAGAATTAAAAGCCTCATTTCGAATCTCTAAGTTAGAAATTAGGCTATTAAAAGATAGGAAAGTTTTGCAAACTACTGCCAAGCTGAGGGACTCATCGTCCTAAAATCCGAAGGTAATGAAAACGAATACTGTCCCGTTTGGAATTTATCGTGTCGCAATAAATCGACACCCTCTTCGTCAATCTCTTAGCAGAATCTAAGCGTTTCCGTTTAAAATGCTACGAAATCGTTTTGCTCTTGAGAGGAACCGATTCGGCGCCGTCTTCCACCGTCATGCCGTTCTCTTTCGTGTGGCTGCCGGACGGATTGTTCCAGCTTTGTAACTCGCCGGTGCCGAAAACGGCGAATGTCACTGCGCCGGTGAAGTAGACGGCCGCCAGGATCCAGAAGATGATGCTCCACTGCGTGTAGGTCTGATTGTGGTACGTGATGTTGCCGACCATGAAGCTGCTGAGGAAACCGCCTATCGAGCTGAAGGTGTTGGCGATGCCGAATATGGTCCCGGAGAAATTGGGCGCGATGTCGAGACCGTTTCCGAGATAACCGGCAGTTATGCCGCCGTTTATCGTTAAAGCGACGGTGAACACGGCGACCGACGCCGCGCGATCGCAACCGTAGTACGCTTGCATCACCATGAGCATGCTGGGTGTTAGCACAGCTAGAAGAAAAATCGAAGTTTCTGTATTAGCCGAAAAGATTAAAATTTTCTATTTATAACAGTCAAATACTTTATCAACACGTTGACTGTTATGATCACGAATATTTGGCGCATGATTGAAATTTTTACAAACCATTACAAAAAATAAATGCCATCTAATATAATATTTTAAATGGCATATTCAGCTATGCAACAATTTAACATACAATATCTAGTATAAGAATATGGTCTTATTTAATCATTATATATTTATGATAATGAAAATTTTACTGTAAGACACGTAGAATTTGGTGTTAAAATGTATATATCTAAAAAGATTTTATACAGTATTAAAACAATTATTAGTTACAAAATCTGATTTTATCGTCCAAGTAGACAAGAGGCATAAAAAAAAGAGAGAACGTTTGCGAACGTTTTACTCACCAAACGTCGTAAAAATTTTACGTATTGCCGTCACCGATAACTTGTTATTGCGGAGCAGGTAATCGGCTAAGATGGACATCGATAAGGCAAAAATGTACTTGCCTAAGTAAGGTAACGAGGATAACAGGCCGTTCTGTAAATATCATTCTTATCAGCGTGTGTTCCATTAATAAATATCATTTCTATTGAATACAGTATATCGATCAGTGAAACAACGATGACATGAAAAAGGTTTTATCCAGTAATATAATCAACGATATATACCTCTTTAATATTGAAGTGCAAGATGTACTTCATATAAGTCGGAAGCTGATTAACAATGGTATGGTAACCGAAGACGCTACACGCGTGCGTTATCACGATAGCCCAAACGGGTCCTGAGGTGATAAGTGCGCGCCATGGTATGGGCAGATGCTGCAGTTAAAGTATTGTATTATTAAAGTATCTTAAACATTGTTTAAGATATCTCGCAGAAAAGGAAATAAAACGAGATATTTCTAACCGGGACTAATAAATAGATTTGTCACAATTTATATTGTTATTTGGTCCTTCTTAGAAGATAAAAATAGATGAAGGTAAAATAATGAAAAGAAAAAACTAAAATAGAATAAAATGTGCACTCCGGGACTAGAATGGATGCTCTCTACTATCACAACCTTGGTGGTGGTCGTCGTTCCAATCGCGCTCTCGATAAAGTGCCGCTCCTCCGCACTGATGCGCGGATGCTGCGACGGTGAGTCGAACACCAGCCAGAACCACGCCACGCTCCAGATAATCCCGATCACGCCAGTCACGTAGAATACCGACTCCCAGCCGAGCGAGGCGATAAGGAATCCGCACATCAGCATAGTTATCGCGGCGCCGAGCGACGAGGCTGCAAGTTTAACGATGCAAAAGTTTACGGCGGCGCGGCGATTGACGCAACCGCGCATCTCTGTCGCGCGACCATAAAACGGCCGCGTCTATCTCGTGTATATACGTTTCGCAGTTTCTTAAGGCCCCAAGAACGAGGGCGGGCAGACGATTATGGCATCGATTGGCCTGGATTTCGCGATCGCGTGGCGAATTAGATCATGATCATTTACCCATCATGTGAGAGACGAACTTGCTACGCTCCGTCGGTGGAATCCATCGAGCAGTCATTGGCTGGATGGCAGGCCAGGTGGCACCCTGATTTACGAGACGAATCAATTTTGAGAGATTGTTGTCAGTAATGATTGCGTGATCGTTTGCAGTCACGTGAAACTCGATCGATGAGCGTAATTTGATTACGTGCAGAGAGAGAGAGAGAGAGAGAGAGAAAAAAAGAGAGATGCTCGATAGATTCAGATGTCAGATTTTTCACCTGTTAGATCGTTTCTCACGAGGCGGACGCGCACATTTATTTTAATTATGATGATGCCTAGATAAGATAACGACATACCAGCATAAATCCCAGTACGACTCTTAATGCGACGACCATGGTGTAGCCCAAGCTGGCTGCCAGTGGTGTCAGCAGAGTGACGAAGCTTGACGCCATCATACTGTAGCCAAAGACCCGTTTGGTGCCAATTATCTCGGCAAGTCGGCCACCGGGAAACTCCGTGCAGATGTAACCCCAGAAGAAGCTGCCAAGAATCATATTCACCTCATATTCGTTCCACGGATACTTGGTCTGGGCTCGTTCTTCCTGAGATTGAAAATCGAGGATTTCGTGAAAGAAAAATTGAACGAAGAAAACAAAAAGATCGCTTAATTCCAATCAACGAAAATACGAATTCGAGTGAATCGGAAAAAGATAGTTCTAATATAATCGACCAGAGCAAAACAATCTTTCAGTTCCGATTAATCTCGCAGTTCCGATTAAACATCGTATCGATGTTGCCATTTAAATGAAATCTCGCTCGCGCGATGTGTTCGCCATGGGCGATTGCTGAGGTCATTCACCGTGCAAGTTCGGCTTTACGCGAGTTTCAACGAACCCGGTGCCAGTGTGGGAGCGCCGCGAGCGTGCTGTCGTTGTTCAACTCGTTGACTCTATTAACGTCGACGCCGATCGCCGGGGTCCTGGTGTCGCCGATCGGGGTGAAGTCGTTCATCATCGTCGCCTGGGCACCGCACTCATCCGGCACCAACGTCGATCCGTTGGAATGCGAATGTTGACCGCTGCTATTGCTCGATATGACCATCGAAACGATCGCTATCGTTAGATTCATGCGTAGCATGTAGTTTAACATGAAGCCGAGAATCACCATGATATTCAGTACCTGACTGCATGATAGACGATCTGGAAAAACATTTGCGGTCATTCGTTTTGCGGTCGTGGTGCGGCTCGAAATCGACCGCAAGCATTTAGTCGATGCATTAAACTGATGCATAGTAATGGTCGATTTTAATGTTTTTTATTTATTTCTTATTACAAATTGCAAAATAAGATATTTATATTTCTGATAACATGATATAAAATATAAATATATTATTTTAATTATATATCTATATATATATGTAGAGAAGAGGAAGAAAAAAATATTTAAAATAAAATTGATTATTATTTTAAATTATAGATACTAATTATTCTTAAAATTATTGGCTCTGAAAATTAATATTTTTAAAAAATACTGACATAAAATAATCATAGAAAAGAACAGTTATTATATTAATATAATAATTTGTTCCAGGATTGTTTGCTTTACGATTTTTTTCTGTAGTTCGATATACTTTCTAAATCTAAATAAATATCTTGTTCAAAATTTTAAATATTTTTAATGATTTGTGGAAATCCAGAAAAGACTATTTGATTTCCGTCTTATATGCACGAGTAACGTTAGTTTTATTTACTGTATGAAAATTATTTTGTCTTCCAGGATTTCTTTTACACATTTCAACAGTGTATGTCGCAAAACAGGACGTACTTATCTATGTCATACGTCTCACAAGTGCTGTAAACAATTTTTACGTAACGTCAGCACGCAATACACGTGACTACGTATAGTTTCGGTCCATTATCGATCTCGGTGCTATTGTACACAACTGCGATTCATCTCGAGGTCATCATTGGGGATCCCGGAGGTCCCAACACGCGAGATCACGCTTTCTCTCGGTCGTATCATCGGACACCGCGTTATCACACACAAAATCCCCGAATTATCATGCAACTACGCAAATGTCTACAATTTGCAGCGCAAATCAAAGGCGGAATGGATTAATTAAAAGCGCGTCGCGCGATTGTGCCAATTCACGACTCGGCCGATCGCGTCTGTTTCGCTTTAATGAGTCGTCGTATACCTAGGTGATATTGAACCTCTCCGGTCACATGAGTGTCGCCCGACGGTTTCCTCGTTCTTTGGCAGGTCGCCGAAGTTATTTCAGGAATGGCGCAAACGGGCCAATTATTTTCCCTTTCCTTTTCTGCATCGTTCGCGCGAACATTTCGCGATTTCGCAAATCGCGGACACGTGCGCGTGTCGAGGTATGAAAGTTCCAGGTTTCGCGGGACGTTACGTCAATGTGCCGAACGAGTTGTAGGTAGAAGAAAGAAGCTTTGCGGGGCGAAGACGCGGGGCAAAAGCCTCGCACTTAATCGCAGAGCGCAAACAGGCGCACCTCTCGTCCCCGATATTAATAGTCAGCATTAGGTCGCCTTGCATCGTCCGCTTTGCATGCACTACGTGATCGTATCCGTAAAGCCACGACTGGTTACTTTGCTTATCGCGAATTTGCGTTCGAGGTTATCGCGGTAGCATTCGATGTTACTGCATGTATACACAATGTGTGAATCATGCTTACAAGTATCAAATTCCAGTCCGTATAGAATCTGGTGACAAATCCCCTTAGTCGATTTTTTTCCACGCTGGAAACACGAATTGAAACAAAAAGCAATGTGTGCGTAAGCAACTTTAAAATAATTATTGAAAATTAATTAAGGTCATTGCACGTAACAAAGTTTTAGTCATAATTGTAAGGCCGCAAGAAAATAGACCAATCACAGTCGATTATTCTCCTTGAGCTCGAAGAATAATCGAGTGTGATTGATCTATTTTTTTCGCGGCCTTACGATTGTGACTAAAACTTTGTTACGTGCAATGGCCTTTATTGGAAACGAAGCTTATTTTCTGCAATTTAAATAAACAGCAAAGAGATAGACCGTAGGCAAGTTGATTTCATACATGGACTTTACTTCAGAATTTTATTTGATTTATCTACGAGGAATAACAGATTGCTAAAAATGTACTACGATGGGGTGAAGCCAGCGGTTCTTACGTCAATTTACTCTGTCTAATCGTTCTCGTCTTTGACGCATTTAGTTGTTACAACAGAGAAGCGCGTGTCGAGAGACAAATAAGTTTGTGCCCCGTTGCGCAATCGCAACGTACGTGTCTGCCTTCGACTATGAAAGTCATCAATACGCGGGATTAGAATTTCCTGAAAAGGTAAGTAGCCTCGTCGTTGCGACAAAAAGTCGGTGGACAATTTGCAAGTTAAACATTCTTCGACGCAAACCTATGTCAGCGATTGCCGATCTAAAGTCGTGTTCTAACCACGGTATCTGACGTAACTAAAACCGTGAGTAAGGTCATATGAAATTGCAGGCAGGTGCATTCTTATCGCGAGGAAGTAATACTCTTATTTCGACACATTTGAGCGGTTTCGTGCGTTAAAGCCGCTTCCGTATTTTCTGGCTTCTGTATTTTGCGTATAAATCGCTCAACTTTAATTAGCAGATTAATGCTGGTTTCCCGACTGATAAAAGATGTGGAAAATAAATGTAATTGGCCTAAAACACATTTTGTACAATGATAAATAAGATACTTCTTTTTTAAATCTATATTTAACATAAAGGTAATTTTATTACACATTGTTTAAATTTTACTTTCAATTTTATTTACACACAACTTTTCTTAAAGATTTATTTGTGATTTTATTTATTATGCGCTAACGCGTAATAAAACTCCGACATTAACTTTGCTTTCCCAATCAACGCTGCTCCTTTTTGAATGAGGAAATTTAATTTGCGTCAATGAATTATATTGTCTCACTTTCTCTCTCTCTCTCTCTCTCTCTCTCTCTCTCTCTCTCTCTCTCTTTCTCTTTCTCTCTCTCTTTCTCCGTGTTTCCACGTCACATGAAGAAACGGCAAAACTGGCGATAATGAACTGGCAATAATGAAATTAATTAAGAACGATCACTTTCTTATTTTCACTTTAATCGATTTGTGTGCCCACTGACATCCTCATTCTATTTATATTACATAAAGTTTTTCTTTGATCTAAAATTTGCCAAATTGACATTGTAGCGTTACAGTTATACGCACTATTTGATATTTTACCATCGTACTTTTCATTTTAACATATCAGCCATATATACGTTATCCGCGCATGTAGGATTGCTTTGGGGAGGACGAGATCCCCGTGGATGCAATTTGGACGATTGGAGAGGAGTGCCTATTTAAAAGCTCAATCTGACCGATATAATAATGACATTCGTGAATCGAGAGCCACGTGTGTCGTGCTACCCACTTAACCGCTATTGCGATCATTACGCTCCCCGATCATGCGGCAATGGAACTTGGTACTTTAAATGCGGGGAATATATCGTGTTTCTAGTATTTGAAATTTGTCGACTTTGAACGTCTGCTGATAATAGCGACGTATTATGATAATAAAAACATGCGATTCAGTTCGAGTCTGATGTCAAAGCGAAAAATTTCGATCGATAAGCGAGACAGGGAGATTGCAATATGTGGAAGATAAATAAATCGACGAAGAGAGAGATTACATGAGGTCAATTATAGTTCAACATAATTTACTCAATTTACAGACTTCATCGATCTTAATATCTATTAAGATCTAATTTTAATGAATATATTCTGCCGCATTATATATATATATTAAATTAATCAAAGTGACGTCGAATATTGATATTACAAGAAATGATAATTTATCTTTGAATTGAGTTGAAGATAGATAAAGATAGAATTTTCTAAAATGTTAATTGTTTTAATTAATTAATAATAAAATAAATAATTCCATGTCAATGTTATTCAATCAACTGAAGTCATTCAATAGAATATATAAATTCATATATACAATATATACAATATTTATATATACAAATTTATTAAATAAAATATATATATATTCAATATTATTCATTTTCAAAAGACAGTAGCGTTTTCTCTTCTGCTACTAATCAGCAGTCTACGTTGGTCATAAATTTATATAAAACATATTAATGTCAATTACACATTGTTTCATGTTAGAGTGTAGCAGGGTCAGCCTGACCAATACTCGGCGCCTTTAATTACGATTTTTATGGCTGCTTTTATACTTGATTACCAAGCCGATTTCACTTGAGTGCAGGGTTATATCGTAGATGACCTCGATAACGTGACACCGGTTTTAATAGTCTTGGAAAACTTGGTAACATGATCCGATATGATCGGTGTACAGTGACCTTTATTCCCGAAAATAGCGGATCTTTTTCAATTAATTTTATACAAAATGTAATTAAGGTATACCTAAATCAAAACCGAGTCTGCTCAATAAAAATATTAAGACATTAATAAGTCGTGTAATAAGATGTACAAAATACACATTAACGCAATTATTTACATATAAACGTTAAACACTTCCGCCTTTCCCTTCATATACCCGTTCTATAAAAAATTAACACAGGGTAACGCATAAAATATCATACGATTTTTTTGTATAAATGATTGATAAAATTGCAAACCATACATATATAAATCTTACATTATAAAATTGTGAAAAATTAATAGATAAATGTTTGCAACGTGATCTTTGCTCTGTCTCACGATCTCGTGGAAACGCATTCTCATATTGAGATGCATGACATTTTGTGCGCCATTGTTTGTGTCGTACATCACAGAGGCTATTACGACCTTCACCCAGAACTCTGTGCACGTTTTCCCGTATAGGTTATTTATAGCGCTTTCGTCGTTTCGCGAAGGCTCAAAATAGTATACCTGCTTTTCTTAAAGTCGAGTTTGATGACTTGCAGCTTCGACAGTCGGAAGCACCGGATTCAGGTCAAGACGCGAGTTTAACGATGCAGACGGCATTATTATCTATGAGATTCATCGCTATACGCATTCATCGCTATACGCAGTCTAATTGGCCAAAGATTAGAGGCTTGTACGTCGCGTCGCGTGGACTATAAGCGTTGAACTATCAATACGCGACCGTTTTCTATCGAACGTCATGAGCGAGTGTTGATGATACATGTTAACTCTATAGGAATGTAGAGGTGAGGGTTCGGGGCAAACCGGGCAAACGGCGATTGCGAATTTTCAATCGCGATAAACTATGGTCATATTTTATATAAACTTCATTCAAAGAGATCATAGATTACCCGAACAATCATTTCCTTTATACATATGTATTAAGTGTACCGAGCCTCTCTAATGCGCTCTAATACCTTTTCTCTTGTACTCTACAACTTTACCTTATTAATTCTATCTCATATAATATTTATATCTTTAGACAAAGTTAACATTATTCATTTCAGTATAAATATATAGAATTTATTTGTATTTATTGTTTTCAATCATTCTTTAAAACTCTATTGTCTTTAGGTTGACTCTTATTTTATATATGATTTACCTTTTTATACGTATATAGAGTTAATAAGATAGAAAAAATAATATAGTAACATGCATATATGTTTTTTGATAATAAATAATATAATTATATATTATAATAATATATAATAATATGTATAATATATATAATATATATCTATATATATATAAATATAAATAATATATAATATATATATAAATAATAATATATATATGAAGTTGATGCTTTTATCAACTTTAATTCACCGTCGACTGGTCGAATTATGCGTCGGCATCTTGACGAATCATCATCCCTTCCCGTAATAAAGAATACATTAACGTCCAAGCGGAAGCCGCGTTCGTTGCCGTCCGTCACGAGACACGCATGCAATTCAAGCTTGTCCACACATGAATCCGTTCATTTTCTTTCAAGAAAGTTATGCGCCCGCATAAGAGTTTTTTCAGGAACATAATAATTATTTTTGAAGAAACGTAACACGATATTAGAAATTGAATTTAAGTCATTTTCTGATTTGTGTCTAGAAGAGGACGAAATAATCTTTCAATAATACTTCATAATCTATTACGAAGTAATTTTTATCCATATTCACATCGATTACAACGATAATCAATAATTTTTAAATTATTAAATTCAATTTTATAATGTTATTCGTTTGAAATCGGAAAGCCGAACGCGATGCGAAAAAGATACGAGATGTGTAAAACAAACATATCACTTGAACTAATTATGACTTCGTGTTGGAACATCATGCTAATGGTGAAAAATCTAATAAAACCAATTATGGAATCTTTTGTCACTTCTGCGAATTCAAACATCCAATAAGTATGGTATCACATATCACACGTTTAGAATACATGTTTAAGATCACATGTTTAGAAATATAACACTAATAATGTACTATAAAACAAAAGCACTTCAATAAATAAATTTCCGTCATACAATACTCAAGAAATTTTGACCTTATAAATGTGCAACTTGCTAAAAACTCTTTTTACATTCTGACACAACGAGATATGTATTCAAACTTTTAACGGTATATTAAATCAAGATAAGCAAGGTATTAGGTTAAAATAAATATTACTGCTTCAGCTATTTTATTAATTGTAAAGACTTACGCTTCCTTTTTTTTTCGCGCTAATCATATTTACTACAAATAATAATTGTGCAAATGTTCAATGATATTTACGATAACATAACATTAATTTCTTTTCACTATATAATTTTTTTATATTTACTTTGTAAATATAACAGACATGCTTTAATACATCTTTCACATTTTTCGTTTGCTAATCACTTATTTTGTTAAAATGATCTGTGGGAAAATGATCTTAAAGGACTTAAAGAGATAACAAATTATTCATCCCTCTAACCCCTTGTCAACCACTGCGACTTACCTAGCACGCTGCGATTGGATGCCATGTCACCGGTGATGATTTCCCACCGGCTTTCCGGTCTTTCTGTTTCTCAATTTCAGCGCACTTGTTAAAAAATCGGATTTAATTTAGAAATAATAATAAAAAGTTTGTTTATTATATTTCTACACGAATATAAACTTATATTCTTCCAATTGAATTGAAAATTTTCACGTGTAAACCATCATGTCACTCGAACGATTCTTGATACGAGAAAGAGCATTCAACCCCTCTTAGAGATGTGAAGAGCTTGGAAGAGCTTGCTTTTCGTCTACGAACGCCTTTGCTAGCGTTGCAACTGGCTCGTTCGCTCGCCGCGCTTTGACTGTGCTCTGCTCTAAACGCTCTGCCAAAAATCTCAGCTGCAAATTGCGGCGCTGGCTGTTCGGAAGACGAAAGGCGAAGAGACGGCGAAGAAGAGGCCCGTCAACAGCGTCAGTCGTTGCGACACCGACGTCTTCCGCGGGCTGCGTCGTTCTCCCGCTTCGCGTTTCGCTTCGTTCCGTCGTAACGTTCCTCGTCGTGTCGTAACGAAGGCTGCATGAAACGACGAGGTAGTAGAGGCAGAGGGAAAGAGAGAGAGAAAGAGGGGCACGACCACGCACGTCACGAACGTCCGCGGTTGTGTACAATGACGTGCTTTGTTCGCCGCGCGCCAACGAGAAGATAAATGCGCCCTATCAAATGAACGGACGGTTTTTCCTACCCCCCGTGTCTGCCACTCGCCCAGAGGGAGGCGAACAGCGAGGGATCAGCTACGTGGAACCAAAATGTTAATGAAACGTTTTCCTTTGCGTTGGAAAGAGATATATAGAAGATTCAAAGACCTTCGAGTACTCAACTCCTGCAGTGTTTCGATTTTTTAAATAATATTTTTATCGCCTTCAAATTTTTTCCCATTTAACTTTTAGATGAACTGTATAAACTAGTTTGTTCTTGTTATACATTTATCGAAGTTAGATCTTCGCAAACTTTTGTTTAATTCAAGTAATAATGTGAAAAAAAATAACTAGACACGGTCATAATATACAATTTCAAAGTATTATTAATTATACAAATATATTATATATAGAAATATCAATTGTTATATACATACAATTTTTCTTAGATATATCGTGGATTCGCGCTCAGTGATATCGCAGTTAAGGGGTTAGTATAATTCCACGCACAAAATATCTCGCATTCGTTCCTTGCTCCGTTATTTCACGAAGAGATAAATCTTCGCGAAAGAGGCGGAAGATAACTGTTGTCCGAGCGATATATGTTGTAACGCGCCAGGCGTTATCGTGACGTTGTAGTTATTAATCAACGTCAGCATTAATTCGCTGATCTGTCGCTTCAGCGTTCTAATGACTGTAATTGGGTAGTTACCAAGCATATTCGCCACGCTGCTGATGATTCTCTCTGACACGATTAATTAGGCCTAGAATCGCCAACTGTCTCTTCGGACACTTTGCGCGATTAAATGCTAGATTGTCCGTTGAAGTAACCGAATTGAAATGAACGGAGAACGATATTTCCGTTGAGTCCAGTGGAAATAATCGGAGAAAGTAATTAAAGTGAGGAACAGATTTTCTTTTTCTTTTTCAATAGCGATAAAGTTAAAAGTGATGAAACTGAAATTGAGATAAACGGCAATAGGCTATCTCAAGCTTTACAATGCAAACGAATTGTAAAACTTATTCGTATGTACATATATCGCAACGTGCTATACAATTCAAGACGCATGATAATTAACTTGAATTACGCAGTTCCGATCTATTTTCGTCTCCGTTTGACGAACTTCACGAAACGATTACGGTATATATTTTTTTACGAACAAATATTTCAGCAATCGTATTTTCGAAAGATTGTTCTCATCCTCCGTTATTTTAAGTAAAACGGACGAATTACTTGTGAGTTCCCATTTATTTGAGTTCTTGGAACCATGAAATAACTATTAAATTCCACTCCGTTTCAAGATAGTTTCCATAAAAATAAATATCAAGATATGCATATGTATATGTTTGATATTACAGAGTTAATTATAAACGAGGAGGTTCTGCGACGAAACGTATAAAGTATTTTTTCGATTTCATCTTAGATCATCTGTACAGTACGTGCTAGTCTTACGAGTTATCGAACACGCTTCGTGTTGTGTAATTCCGTGATACCATCTTATACGTTCATTTATTATCTCGACTACCAGCATATATTTCTTTCTCACATTCACACAGACTCTTTCCATATTGCGCAAGTCCCGTTATTTTTGGAAAGATTTCATGGTACATAAATCCGCGCGTTTAACGATTAAACACAATACTCACATCACACGCGTTTCTTACGACAAACAGAAAAGGCATTCGCAAGATTAATCGAGGATATTAAGCTTGCTGTTGGTCTTCCTTAATTGCGCCCGCCAAGGTATAATCTGACCGTCGTCGGAGTCGTCCTTGGCAGGATCATCCCGCTTCTCATCGACCTCGGGTTTATCTTCCTTCTTGATGACGCACGACGGCGCCGCCGGCGAAGCATCCCTCTTCGGGTTTACCGACGTTGCCTCGAATTTCATTGTCGTTGTGCTCGTCGACGCGGTTACCTGCGTCGGATTCAGTCTGTAATCAAACCGATAATTCGACGCTTGAATAAGGCGCGTGAAAAATTTTTCCATTAATATTTAATTAATTGTTAATTAATGAGTACAAAAGTTAATTGATAAGACAACATTATTTTGTAATAATTGACGTAATAAAGGAAATAGAGTAACAGAAAGGGATGCTTAAATTGAGAAGATCTCGAGAAGTATATGAAATATAAAAATTAAATTCTCTCTTTCTCTCGTTCTCGATATTCTCCTCCCTTTCGTTTTATTTGAAAATTTAAGAAAATTCAAGACGTTCTGAATAACAAGATGTTTCTGTACTTGGAAATGGTCAATTGTCAGATTTGAGGGGCCAATCTTTTAATACACGCATAAAATATTATGCACAATATTATACATATCGCGTAATTTTGCATGTAACGCGAAACGGGGGAACTTGAGACCAATTGCAACGAGGAGCAATTGTAATACTCGCAATAATTGGAGCACTTACAATTAGACCTCTACCCCTCTTGCCTGCGTTAAAAACGGAGTTAAATATAGTAAAATAACGCGAGATGAATCTTTTCTGAAATGTGTCGCAATCCAAGTACCTACGATTTTATGACGAGCAGTTAAAATTACGTTCTCCACTTGTTGCAAAACTCGTTCTAATTAAATCTGGCTTTCTCCAATCACCGAGAAATAGCATCCAATTACATTTCTGATTGATTGATTGATACAGATCCATTAATCTTCGTACCTCTTTTCTTCGTTGTCCTTCTTAGCGAGAAGCTGTCGCTTCCATGGCGGAATCGCTTTCTGCCGCCTCTCCTCGTTTTCTCGCGCTATTTGCTCCTCGAGTTCCTTTTTCGCTCGTTCGGCGGCTTTTCGCGCCAGCATCTGTCGCTTCCAGATTGGTATTACGTTTCCCGAGCTGTCCTTTTCGGGAATCTACAAAAACAAAGATTCAAAATTTTAAAACTGGACTGCATAAAATTATAAAAGTATCATAAAAGGAAAAAGTTTTTTTAATAAAACGTTAAAAAAGATTAGAGATTTTTATAATTTGTTGTATATGATTGTACGTATATTTTTCAAGAAGAATGACAAATAAAATGCTCTTACTTGATCAACGAAATTCGTAACGCTGAACGCTTTGCTAATTTCCGACATGAGGGTCTGCTCCTGAGTCTTCTCGACCTGCGCCCTCTCCACCTTTAGCTTTTTGATACCAGGTATATCCTTTGTGCGCTTCAATTCGGCGATTAGGTCCGTCTTTTGCACGAAGAATGGCTCCGAGACTGAGATCGATACGGTCTTATTTGAATTTGTCCATGATTCTATTTTTAAACTTTATAGCAAGGTAATATGATCGTATAAATTTCGTGTAGCATGCGTAACAAATATAGTAGAAATGACCTCAGAATAAATATACAGTCGCTAATGTAACGTAGAATATAGTTACAAACAAGGGATTTCTCGGATAATGAACTCTGAATCCTCACTGTTAAATTCGCAGTGTCAAATTATATACAATTTGAGTCATTTTTAACCATTTCTGTAGGTCGCCACTGCTCCCACTCAATAAGTCGATAATTTAACTAAAACAATGTTAATTTAACTAAACCAATGGTTAAAATAATGCTGTTTTGTGTTAAACTGTTAAAATAATAAATTCCGCCACACATAGTAATTCAAATTAACAAAATGTTGTTTAACTCAAGGTATATTACTTAAAATTGCATCCTTTAATATTTAACAGTGTACGCTCGAGTCCGTATTACAAAAGCGTGAAATTATACGTGTATGTGTGTCGCGGACCAGCTTACCGTTAGTCATGGACACGCTGCGAGGAGGCGGAGCGGAGAACGTCTTGGTGGCGTTCATCTTCGTGCTGGTCCGTCGTAGCTGGATACTTGTGAGGTCCTGGATGCTGATTGTGGCCAAGGGTTGTTGCGGGGAGCTCTTGGAGCTTTCGGTCTCGTTGCCGGCGCCGGCGTTACCTGGGGCCTGATTCCCTCCCCGTGCACGTTGCTGCAAGGGAGACAGGGGCGGTGGCGGGGGGCCCGTAGGAGACCCCTTGGCCTCCTCGCTGCTCCTTCGCGCCCCCTCCTCCTCGTCCGCCTCCTCCTCCTCCTCCTCCTCCTCCTCACCCTGCTCCGTATTCCGGCTATGAATGTCCAAGTTGTCCACTGACCTGCGAGCGCGATTTTCGCATTGTCACGCGAGCGGAAAATTTGGTAATAGCACTGCTCGAAGATTGATTTATTTATATTTTAATAACATTTGTTTTATACCTCTTAGAGAATTATTACGTTTATTTTGTTGAGCGTGTGTTAAATATGTATATTAATAAAAACATATATTTTTAATTATATTCATATAAATGCATATGTAAATAAATGCATTGAAAGATTTGAAACGTTTCATATATTAATTTCTGTTCGAGAAAGATTTTTGTCAAATTTCAATTATTTCGAAGGGAAAATGCCTTCTCACGAGTAAGAAGTATTTCTTCGGAAGCAAAACGTCAATCATGTTAAATTGATTTCTTACATTTCTGCGCATGTAATCGTTAGGTCAAATGCACACATGAGTTTACATTTCTCCGCATAGCTGAAAGGCTTTAACTGGTGACACCTGTTACATCAACCGTAAAGCTGATTTTAGCGATCATTACGAAAGTGATTGTCGATATTATTTCATGTGCGCGAAGATTGAATTGATAAAAGACTTCAAAGTGTTAGATGTTTATCAAACTACTTTTCGTGATTTAAATTGCATGCAACATGCTATAAAATGTTGCGCGCCTACAGTATAAGTAATCGTACAAACACTATAAATGAAACACTTCAAATAGATTTTAAATCCCCACTTTCCAAGTAATCTAAGTGGATGAAGCACGCACAAAGCAATTCTTATTTCGCGTTATTCGCTCGTTCCATATATTCCAGACATCCCTGAAGTGCACTATATATGTCTTGAATATTCAAATCGTCAATTTGAAATTGATTTAATTAAACGAACAATAGAAGAATGTTCGCCACTTCAACAACACGACAATCGCGACATACTTTATACGCGAAAGATTACGAAACAGATAAAAGTAAACACTATGTGTAATAAGTATATGTAATAGGAAGGGTCACTGACCTCGCCTTCGACAGGCTGTTTTTAGCTGATACCTTGCAGATACTCTTCAGGTACTCCGATGGCTTGAGCAGGGTGTTGGAGTCCGCGTTGGCGAACTTTGGCGGTATGAACGGCAGCACCATGTGCCTGTTTACCAGGTGGGATGCCTGGCTCGCTTTAATTTCGTCCGCGTCCGCCGGCGCACTGGCGGGAGCCGGCACTTCCGGCTGTTGCGGATGCTCGCCGGAGGATGATGCGTCGGACTTGTTGGCCGCTGTTCCGAGACCGACCAGCCAGCGTTAGAGAAAGAGAAAGAGACGGAGATAGACGGGGGGGAGATAGAGAGAAGGTGGAGTAAGAGGAAGAGGGCTTCTCTCGTTATATCCTCTAGCATTGGATGACGGTCGTTACCGAGGGGCAAGTGAAATCTAGGTAAGTATATTATATGCCCGGTGAACGCCATGGTCTAGTAAGTGAGGCCACCTCCGCTGAGCATGATCCGCTAACAGTTTAATTAAATGCCGAAGTATACGCGTTTGCAGCCCAAATCGAGATCGCGACGCGACGGGGAGCTCGCGCCTCCCTCCCTCCCTCCCCTACACCCTTCCGCCTTACCCGCGCCTTCGTCCGATCGCGAGTCGAGCCGGCCTAATTAGACTCGTGGCGCTGATTAACATCATACGAATTAATTTCACCCGATTTTAACTGTAATTGCTGATCACAGTCGATTCAGCTAATTGCCTTCACGTTTGTATCGAAGAGTCGGGAGGCACGCGCCCCGAAAATGTAAGCGTAATTCGCACGAGCGTAACACGGCCGTCGAGGCAATTACCGCAGCGATAAAAAAAATAATACGGTAATAGCGAATTGTATATAACGGAGTTATCGCATTTCCTGGTTATAGTCCGGTGGGGACTTGAACGAATTCAGAGTTGATCTTTCTCTCCGACAAAAATCAACTAATTATAGCGGAGATAATTAAGTTACGGAAGTATATTAAATGTCGAAGACAAACTCCGAATCTGGGGAGATAGTTCGTAACTAGCGCCATTTAAGACAGAAGATCGACTCGTTAAGTAAAATTTGTCGAGGAAGTGATTGGGAGTATAATATACGATGGTCTTCGCGTTGACCGGTAGTCGTAAGATGCCTATCGATCGGTCATAAAATCGTCGATGCGCGACGCGCGATCTCTTTTCACGATTGTTGCGAATAACGTGAAATTACGATCGTTATATATTAAGAAAATGTCCTTTCATATCCATCGTGGAGTAATGTAAAAGACATAAACATAATTTCAATGACCGCGTTTACATAGCACGTGCGCGAGAAGTAGGCGGATTTTTCTTCGATCTTTCCAAGAGATCTTTCGAAGCTGTAATTGCAGGAGAAACGCCCGATTCGGATTGAAAGCATCATTTTTCGTAGTGAACGCGCGTGGAAAATGTCAGGTGAATGTGCGTGCACGCATTTCTGCTCAAAGTCGAGCTGCAACTTTCACGTGGCAATTTCGCAAGGGAACGAGAGGATATCGAAGAGGAAATGGGCGTCAAGCGCAATTTCTCACCAAAAGACTCGGTCCTCACGTCCTGGCTGTTTCCTCGCGCATCTTTCTTGTCGGCGTCTGCGTTCGGCTTTGCGTTCACCAGGACGACCACTACGTCGTCGTCCGGCGGCGGCGGCGGTGGCGGTGGCGGTGGTTTCAAGAGACTGTGGAATAAAAATCTTGTTTTTAATGTGACGTGAAAAATATCATTCAAAGAATATAAATGATAGAAAAATAAATTAATACCGCGCGTAAAAATGTTGTTGTTAAATAATATTGATTAAAAGAGTATTGATTAAATATTCGTTGCTCGAGCGCGAATGATAAAGTTTGATTCTATGAACGTTTTTATTGGTCCCATGTACTAATGAAAGTAAATCATCTTTCTGACAAAGAAAATTACGGAAAATTGGTGAAGTTAAGTTTTATCATTCCGTATTATATATAGTAATCGATTGCAGCGTCTGATAAAAGTAAATAGTAGTAATAAAAATCTCGTCTATTAAATAATTAAGAGATTAGATAACGTTTATCAATTTTATGAAGACAAGTGAAAGTAACAATCATAGAGAACAATCATGGTAATAGATTGCAAACACCTAATTGCACCTAATTGCAGACAATGATAGTAAATGTAAACGAGCGAAAATATGTGGAAAGTTAAACGGTTATAAGATAATAAAATTGATGGAGGTGCCGGCGCGGAATAGACATCTTGTTTCGAAAGTAATTCCTTCATTCAAGGATCTTTTAGAGTCTCTTTTTATCTGAGGTCACTGTGTCTGGGGTTAATGCCAATCGACTTTAATCTGCTCGCGCTCGCCTGAACGAATCGTACGATTCGGATTATCGTTGCGATTATTCACGTTCGTTTTACAATATATTAATAGCCGAAGATGATTACTGGCGAGAAAACGGCCTTCACAACGTGTCCTATCCGCATGATATCTCAAAGGAAAATGCTTCGGAGATCATTGGAGAACAAAAGTCAATGGCGAGAAGGAAAGAAGCGAATCGAATCGCGCGAAGTGGCGAGCAGCTCCGCCGTTCGATCGACTTTCGATCGAGCTTTCTTCTCTTATTGGCGCGCGGCTTTAACTTAAGTCTCGATCCGGTATATCGATTCGCCCTACTTACCTAGGTCCGCCGTTGCCATTTGTACGGATCTCCTTTTCACTTTCCACCTGCGCGCCGGACGAGTCCTTCCTCTCTGCGAACCGAAACAGAATCGCGTATATACCGGTCAATCGCGGCCGTTCTCGTCATCGTAATTTATTCGAAACTCCGCAGGATAGCCACTATATAATGCCCTGTCACTTTTTGTCGAAAAATTGTCAGCGCCGATTTGCATCGTGTTAAACTTGATGACGAATTAAGACAAGTTGTTACCAACTCCATTACTCATTGGACACGGGCACACAATCACACACAATCGTGGAATGTAGTAATAACAAAAGGTAAACGAACGCACACTATAGAAAACCGTTCTTTTGTTTTCTACCTCGTATAATTGTCTTTATGAATAATACATTCCGATTTTTTATTCTCTCTTGTTGAAAACGATTTCTTTTCTTCTCACACGATGATTTATATATATTTTATACTTATTAATCTTATTATCCAATAGATCACACATAATAAAAGTTGAAAAGATATTTCACTTCGGTTATTTAAAGTCATTTATAATGTACTTGTTACGGTACACAATTTGTGCATACGCGATATTTTGCGCGTATGCGACTCTTTGATCATAGACACTGTGGCCATCCTGCAGAAATTTCCGGCTACTTTCGACGTACCGTGTGCTTCCGCATTCGTCTTGATTCCCGGCTTGCCGATCCGTTCGCTGCTACTGTGCCGCGATAAGGACGGAGTGGACGTCGTCGAGGAGAGACCGTGGACCTCGCTGCTCATGTTCGACGATTCGCTGGCGCTGCTGGATCGACTGTATCGCCTGTCGGTTTTGCGAGAACGACTGAAACGGTCAGAGACGGTTCTATCGATGTGTTTCGCGAATCCACGAATCGGAGTTAAGTTTAATCTACGCGCGATTAAGTACCTGGCGCGCGATCGCTTATCTGCGAGATAAATGAACGGGCGAGAAAAATAGCGATACGATGCTGTTCCCCGAACGCGCCCACGAACAGTCATCTCTTAACGATTATAAAGACAATTTCGATCGTGACAGGATTACACACCGTTCCACTTGTTGATACATCGCCTTGATATTGCTTACCTTCGTGGTCGCTTTTATAGTGCCTGATTTATATTTTGTTGTGCTGCGCTCATCAATAATCTCTTTTTAGAAGCTTGACGTGTAATTCGTGGTATCGCGAGAACGACTTCAATGTCTACTTGAGTTAACAAATTCACTTCGCCAGACAAATTTTTACACGTGACTTAACTTTTATAAAACAAGATGTCTAATAAACACATATGATCCGTATCTTTTCTGAAAATTTTCTTTTATTGTTCTACTACTTTTATATTATTTTTAATATTCTACCTTTTGGAACGCGCGTATCCTTTTGAATATATATATATTTTTTAAAACTTGGGAAACTTGATTCTTAAATTAATTCTTTCAATTTTAGGAGATTAGATCAGATGTTATGGACTAAACCCTTTTGATCTCGCTCGCGAAATTGCTCACGTTACCTGCTGTCGGAGGCATTGTCCGCCGGCTTCTTGCGCGACGACGAACTCACGCTGCTCGTTTCTTCCTGTCTCACGCAGATCTGCTCATAAGCATGATCCGAGGACTCCCTCGCGATCTCGGAGCGCGCCGCATGTCCGTTGCCGGTATGCGGCCGGCCGACGAATCCGCCGCCGTTGTTGATGTGCACGTCCACTTTCACTGAAAGCCAAAGCCCCGCTCGGAATATTACGTATCGCGCACGAGAAAACTGCGCCTTCCACGAGAAAACATCACGCTCGAGAAGTTTTCCAGAAAACATCTTGAGCTAAACTCAAACTAACGATTCGCAAACTTGCGACTAGTAAAAGTTGCCGACAGCTTTGTAGAAATTTATAATTTCTATATAGCGCCGCGCGAGAGAGATCGGAGTTCGACTTTTTATAAAATTTTAAATTTTTTTTTTATTTCGATTCTCGCGCTGTATCGGCGACTTTTACGCGTTTCGCTGGAACTCGCGCGATCCGTCTCTCGATCGCCGTTTTTATTGCTCTTGCTTATTAAGAGCCAGTGCACAGTAACGGCTTAACGGTATCCGCGGTAAATCGCGCGCGAGTCTTTAACCCGGTTTCGCAGAGCGCGCGCGTTGTTCGCGACGTGTGTGGCTTTTTTCGCTCCCTTGACAATTATCCAAGTATCTCTCTTTCTTCGAGATCAATCTTGCGACAGTCTATCATGCACTAGTCACGTGTCGTTCGTAAAACGAACGATTAAACTTACTGCTTGCAAAGTAAAACGAATAAGCAGGGCAATTACGATTAAAATTCTCTTAGATCTTGTGCAGACGTCGACTTACGCGCGATTTTTATTTAATCATTAATTAACATTTGCCAGAAAAAAATATATATCCTAATCTCTTATGGATCCGAATCGATACATGAAGCGGAAACAATGCTTCATGACAAATAGTTCCATTTGCTTGATCTTTGTAAATATCATTGAGAAGAGCGAAAGAGAGACGATACCGAACATCGGATGCGAATCGAGGTCGCCCTGGAGCCGCAGTGGTTGTCGAGAACCGACGGAGTAAATAGGGTGTCTCAGAATTATCACTTTGATTTATCTCAGCCATAAATAATTCAATTAATGGAATTTATCTTTTCTTAAATTCGAGTTGTTTGCTCGGGGGGTATTTTTCTAATATATATCTTTGAACTCTCGTATTTCACACTTTAATTTAAATAGCCATGCCTTTTGAGTTACGATCCTAAGAATGCTCACCATTTGTTTCATCTACGAATAATCCGGTGACTTGTTGCGAATAATCGCTATTTGGTTAAAACCCCTTCACTTTCGACGATCGACGACAGGATACCTTCTGGACACCGTGTATAGCGCGCGTTATAATGTAGCGATGAAGTATCTGGGACGTGCTACTTACCAGTCAGAGTCTCGTCCTTCCTCTCCGGCGTATGGCGCTGCTCCGCCGCGACGCCGTTCCGCGGCTTCTCGGCGTCGCCGAACAGCCGCGTGATCCTGGTATAGACGAGATCGTGCGGGCTGTGCAGGTAGAAGGACTCGGCCGTGTCCTTGGGCTTGGGCGGCTCGCCGATGTACGCACTCATGGGATTTATGTAGATACCGTCCCGCGGCCGAGAGCCCGGCGGATGCAGAAAGAACGGCTCTTGGAACATGCCGCAGCCGCGTAACGAGCACTGCAACGCGTTTTAGTGATGGCTTTAGCATTTGAAAATGCCCAAGAAGAGAAAGAAAGAGAATTTATTGGGTTAAATTTGTGTCAAATTATACTCAATTTGAGTCATTTTTAATTATTTCTATAAATCGCTGCTGCTGCTCAATATGTCGTTAATTTAACTAAATTAATTAAAATAATAAATTTTGAAATAAATGGTAGTTAACAATAATAAAATGTTATTTAACTCAAAGTATTGGTTTAAATTTCATCCTTTGATATTTAACAGTGTTGCATTTATATATATAATCTCTTTTTAAACTTTAGAAATAAGTATTTCTTGCCGATTAAGATTTTATAAGATAATTTATTAAGTATACGTGTACATTTTATAAATATGAATTCTCACGAATAGATAAAATAGTCAAAACAAAAATCTCTTAGATCTTGTTTGTACAATCCAGAAGCAAGTTTTGCCTTAATATTTTGAGAAAAAGAAGTAAAAATTGTCGAATAAAATCAAAGAAACTTTCGATGTCATTTATGACGCTTTTCTTTCTTTAAAAGGTTGGTTTAAAAGTATACTTTTGCAAATTTTCTCTTGACACGATATCTAATAGCCAATTATTGTTAATAAATATTTATGTGCATGAAGTCCACCCTCTTACCTTGTCGATGGAGCTCGCGACGCAGCTGCACGTGGTGGTGTCGCTCATGTGGCCTGAGTAGTCCGACCCGGCACGATCCCTGGCCATCTTCGGGGTGACATTAGGAGGTGGAGGCTTGCCGGTCTCCTGCTGCATACCGGGACAATTGCAAGAGCGATTAGAACAGTTCGCCGGTGATTAGAAGATTAGAACCGATCGGCGTTTATCCGCAGATCCATTAGATCGAAATGATCCTGATCGTAGCCGTGGGACCTGTCGCGGAAGCGATCGCCTCTTCCTTATTGAGCGAGTAATAAAAGCGCCCGAACCTTCTCTCTCTCTCTCTCTCTTTCTCTCTCTCCCTCACTCTTCTCTCATTTTCCCTATCTCTCTGGCTCGTTTCCTCGAGGTACCGCAATCGATTGCGTTTGCCGAACACTATGCCCGCGGACTTGCGATAATCCCCGTTGCCTAATAGCGATTATCTATACGGTTGCGCAAAAGTCTGGGATTGACCTCGTTCATCGAATAAAAGTTTATTCCAAGAAAGAAGGAGGAAAATGCCGATGATTCGGCGAACGTCGCAAAAACGCTACTATATTGTCGCGGGAGGATTAGCGGTTATTTAGATATGTAACCTTGCATATGTAAGCGGTTCGTAATAAGGCGGAGGAAAGTGGAAGCGCGCAGGTTGCGATTAATGTTTCTATATAATTTTTACGAAGGTCAGGAGAAGGAATTTATTTCTTTCTTTACAGAGCGAGCGCGGAATAGGTATAATAAAGTTTAGGGTCTGAACGACAAAAATGAGAGAAATGAGAAAATATAAAATATTACCGTTTATCTTCGCTTAATTCACAGAAACAATTAAATCTTTTTTTATATGTAATATATTGATTTATAATAAACTTATGAAAAAACATACCTGTATTCCTATCAATTTCTCATTTTACCGACGATCTTAAATTCATTAATAAATTAATTAAACGACGAATGATGTTTTACGATTTAAATAAAGCGGAAAGATCGTGAAAGGAAAACGTAATTAATTGGCTTCGCGCAATATGGATAAAATATGTTCCGCATTAATCTGTTCTAACGGCTAGAAATAATAATAATAATATTGATTATAACGATTTGCGCGAAGCTGTGGCGGACGTCGACCTCTTATCGATCGCTCCATCGACACAGGAAAAGCAAATTGAATCTATATGGTCCAAAACACGTGTCGCAGGTCTTTGCAGAACCCCAGGCGGGACAACTTTAACTAGCACGTCGCCAGTCGAGAAACCGGATTATTTTACATTTTGTTAGACCGGTAACCCGCTGACACGCTATACCGTAAGCTACCGGGCTTGTAACTCCCTTTCCGCGTAATTCCAGGTAGGTACGCGTGGAAATCGCGCGCCGCGTCCGTCGCTTCCCAGTCGCTCTCGTTTCATCGAGGTGAAACCGCGTTGTGTTGATACAGCGCAAGATTCCACACTCGAGCGTGCGATTAACTCGACATGAAATGCACTTGACAAAAGGGAGTGTTTTTCTAGAACACATTTTGGAATATCTTTTCGTGCGAAACAAATAAAACTGATTTTATCGTTTGATCGAAAAATGTAGAAGCATCAGCATCGATTGAATGTAACGTTATTAAACACGAATTTTTATTTAGCCATATTTAGCATTATAATTGTTTGATCAATTGTCATTAATTAATTAACATTACAATTACAGAAGTATTTAAAATATTTATAATACAAATTGTCTAAAATTAATCAAATTCATTATATCGAAATATTTTGTTTCGAAAGAAACGGAGAAAAGAATTGGACGAGTGATCAAGAGATTAGTTCTTGCTCTACCGTGCGTCTTAGCATTGCGGAAATACACTTGTACGCCGTAGTTATGCAAATTCGCGTGCGATGTGCTTGGCCTGTGGCGTAATTGGGTCGCGTGATGAAAGAAGGAAGCGAAAGAAGAGCGCACGATCGCGCAAGAGGAGGAGATCTAGTCTCTACAGAGCGATAAAAGTGACAAATCTCGTGTCGCTTGGCCTGCACGCGGGAAAGTGGTTTAGATACTTTAAATGATTTAAACGATGGCCACACACGCGTACTCTAATTTCCGTGCCGGTCGAGAGGAGAAATTCGCGCCGCGAAATCTCTCGTTCTCGCACCGTTCTCGCGTCTAAATACGGATCAATCAGCTTCTCACGATTACTATCTCAATTACTATCTTACCAATCGTCACAATTTGTATTACAAACTCATTAAAATTTTTTTTCTTGAAGAATTTTTTTTGTTTTAATCTAGATTTCTTTTACTCGAGAGAAATATATATATGTCTCATCTCGTTCTCGTCAAAACTGACAGGAGAAAACGCAACTGTGATTTCACAGTCTGTCGCAGTCTTATTGACTTCTTGATCAGAGTGTTGCGTGAGCCTGAGTGACATCTCGGATCTTTACGAAGGTATGAAAATGTATCGTGACGGAAAGGAATGACAGCCTAGCCGCGACAGCTAGCGCGATGTCACTGGTCACCGATGGGCACCACCCCGGAAAAAATGCCCGTCCACTCGAATCCTTTCCCTGTGACGTGTATCCCGTTGCGATACGCGCCAACGACACGCTTTCCGCTCAACCGGGTGAAGGACGAAAAGCGAAAAAGAAAAAAAAATGTATTCATACGGCGCGCCCAGGTGGATTTTTAATAGAATTCGGGGCGCGAACAAAACAAGATAACGCAAGGTAAAACAGTGCGTTATTAAAATAAATTTTGTAAGTGGAGTCTTTAACGAAGTGTCGGGTAATTATGGTAATGAACTCTTCGCATCGGTGTGTGATTTCCTCTCCTTGACGTCGATCAAATCACCGCTAACATATTGTTTTAATAGTCGGTTCATTGCCCACCGTAATTACGAGCAACGTTTGGCGCATCTCTCGCTTCCGACTAAGCAGCTTCCTCCCGCTATCTCGCGCATTTTTTCCGTAAATCAAAGTAAGCAAATTTGTGTGAGCAAACATTAGAAAGCCACGGATTTATAGCCGTTTAACATCTTTATTGTCGGATCGGTGATTTTAGACACGCGTCAAGTCAAATGTATCGGTCTCGAGAAAGTCGACAAAAACTTCCTTCTTCTAATTTCACTTGAAAATAGATTTAATGTAGATTTTAGATCTTATACTGGTCTTACTGTTAGAATCAATAGATAAACCGTTGACAATAAACTGTCCGAGGAAACTTAAAAATATCTAAAAAAAACTTTTTAAAATACAAAAGCATATAAAATTTAATAAAATGATTAATTAATCAACCGTCACTTTCTCCTAAGAGAAATTAAAAGTAAGACAAAAATAATAAGAGCAGTGAAAATTCATATAAAATAAGAAAGTACCGTGTTTAGACTTAACTGGATCCCTGGAATTATTTATTTAAATTTAAGAAATCAATCCTTCTCGTGTTTTCTGAGCTGCGATGTTTTCATTTCGCGCTTGACGTCGCAAACGTTTCCATTGTTGCGGACAACGCGCTTAAAAGTCGCTTTAACCTCGTCTCGTTATCGGCCATGAACCGCGCCGTAGCGTCCGTCTTATCTTCGCGAGCGCATTTGCGCGGACGGTTGACGTTCAAGGTGATACGCGGAGAGAGATCCGAGTCTCACATGCGTGGAACTGACCCGCGCAAGGTCGACTCGCCACGCTGCAAAATGCAATTCGCGATACTGCGATTCCGTTTCATTCACGACGGACCGCGGACGAATGACAGTGCCGATCGATTGGAGCGTAAAGCGTAAATCGCGAACGAAGATACTTGTATTGGTGAACGTAAGAAAATTCGCGAACAATCGAAGAAGCTTTCCCAAAAATGTATTCTCTATTTAATTGAACTTGTAGAAAACGCGCGATGTCCGTTTTACATCTCATACATTTTCATTGCAGCGCACGTTATGCGTTAAATTTATAATGTTAATTAATTGTCCGAACGTGATACTTCGAGTTAAATTAAACGCAAGTTGCATCTATAATCCGAGTAAAACCTGAGACCGCCATATGTTGAGCTGAATTTACGAGAGATTAAGTGTGTCGATGATGCTGGATTAAATTAATATCCGAGAAGAATTCGCCAGTCATACGGGCAATAAGCATTTCGGATATCGATTTTACAATCTTTTATCTCGATCTTCGACGCGGAAATACGCACGTAAGTGTGTATTTTCCCATTTACACGCATGAACGTTCGCGCACGCTCATTAACGAGTGAAAAGTAGCAGCTATTAGATTTGCACGCAAAACCGGATCGTATACGTTAGAAACCGCGGTTCTCCGTTACAGCTAGCCGATTTTACTAACTTTCGAGTCATCGTCGAAAGGCGAGTCGGTGTCAGCGTGGAGTCGACCTTCAAGTTTTGAACTTCGAATTATTTAAATTTGCTAATCGAATTTCTAACAATATACTATGAAAAAAAACAACGAATACTATTTTATGCGAAACTTTCTTCGTACAACTTAATATATTTTTAACTGTTTAAAACGCAAATCTAAAGACGTAGCACGCGTTATCTCGAAGTCATCTGCGAAGAGAGTTCAACAGCGCTAAACGTCGCCTCACGGGAACGCAGGAGTAGTCCCTCGCGACATTACGGTACTTACGGATTACGGTTCACTTACATATACACCCATGCAAAACCGGATTTCGCTGCTGCCGCGTAACGTCGTAAAACCAAAAGCCTCAGGACGACCGGTCGCCGTTCAGGGAAGTCCTCTCCGTTCTGGAAGAAGATGCAGATTTCGTTCGATCCTCCCGTCCATGTATCGGTGCACACGCTTCGCTGTCCTAGTTCGGACCAGTCGAGACTCGCTGAGGCTCGCGCCGTCAAGGCCGTTCATCCGCGAGTCTCCAGTACGACCAGAGACAACGGTACTTCCGCTCCGCGTCGGTCGAACGGCTGATCTTCCTCGTACTCCAGATGAGAGTCCAGGGGAATCTCAGAGTCTTCCAAACTGCTGTCGGAAACCTTCTAAGCGAGATGGGCTTCAGTTATTCTTGACCTTCTTTAAATTTCAAGTGAAAGATTCAGTGGATTCGGATTTCTAAACTAGACCGTCCAGGTGTCTAATTTTTTTCAAGCCTGTATGGCTATTTCTTATCCTCCTCGCGCTGTAGGCAAGTATCCAGGATTTTCCAAAATATCACAAATATGAAAACTGTGATCCCTCCAAAGAATATTCAAAACTTTCCCAGGTGTTTACGGTCACTTCTGATTATCTTCGCACTCTAGAAAACGGAATCTTTCGCAGATTCAAATGTCAAGTCGGGTCCATGAAAAAGGTCTTTAATTTTGGACAAATCTCCAGGTGGATCTTCCGGTTATTTTAAATAGCTCCAAATTTTTTAAAGCAGTCAGAATTCTCCAGAGAGTCCTCGAAGTTTCTATAATCACGCGACGCTGTTTCCCACCGACTCTTGCCAGCTCGGCGAACACGTCCGGTCAGCGCGAGCGGGCGCGCGACTATGACTGCGAGCTAACACCGGAGTCACGCGCGAGTTAGCACCTGCCGGCAGGCTGGGTGACGCGGGTCGATTTCTCGACTGGAACCCACGATGCTCGCGCGGGTTCTCCGGTCGACACGGGGCGGAGAAGGGAACAACGCGGGCGAGTCGTACCGCACCCGCGCCACGTTCAGGTCCGGCTGTCCTTTTCCCGACCCAGCTTCCAGAATCTGGTGTGGCCGTCCCAGATGGAGAACAGCAAATGCGAGAGCGATCGGGAAAACGGGCGTGCGGGTGACGGTCGGCCAACGAACTCTCGCGCGAGTCTCTCTCGGAGGCCGGTGCGTGCCACCGCGGTGCGAGCGCAGGAGGCGGCAGACCGGGACTCTCTCGCCGCTCTCGAGCAGATCGTCGAGAGCTCACCTGCTCTCGCCCGGACGTTCGAGGTAGGGATATGGCTCTGCGGCTCTCCACCGGAGAAGACCTCTCTCGGATGTCGTCCTTTTACCTTTCTTCGCAGTCGTCCTAGTCCTGACTACGCCAAATCTTGCGGCTTTTCCCGCTACGTTCCGTTTTACCTTGCGATCTTTGGAAGGATCGAGGTTAATTGGTCCTCGCGGAAGGTTTTTTTTTATTAGAGGCATTTGTATCTTGATATTATTCTCGAATGATGATACTTGAGAAACTTTTTCTATGCAACTTGTGTGTAAAATTTTTATTTTATTTTTATTTACATTATTTCTGTGAGAATTCTCTGTGAATTTTCTATTATTGTCGAATTGTATTATAGATGATTCGGAAATTTCTGGAAAACTTAAGAACGGTGTGCGTTTCTCATTTATTAATTTTCAAATATTAAACAAGAATTGACGGAAATATTCGCTTCGTCAAATGATTTTTTTGCTTCTACTTGTTTTAAACAAATCTCGATCACAATTCGAACTAAATCTCGATTCGAACAAGTGGTGTCTTTATTAAAACATAAAAATTAACATTCATCTTCGGTTTTGCACCTTATTAGTTCGATGAGAAGACGACGCGCGCCTCTTTTTAAACAAATCTCGATTACAATTCGAACTAAATCTCGATTCGAACAAGTGGTGTCTTTATTGAAACATAAAAATTAACATTTATCTTCGGTTTTGCTCCTTATTAGTTTGATGAGAAGACGACGCGCGTCTCCTTTTAAACAAATCTCGATTACAATTCGAACTAAATCTCGATTCGAACAAGTGGTGTCTTTATTGAAACATAAAAATTAACATTCATCTTCGGTTTTGCTCCTTATTAGTTCGATGAGAAGACGCGCGCCTCCTTGAAAAGTAAGCGCGACCTAGAAAGCGTGCACGGGATCGAGCTCTTTTTCTTCAGGTGTGCATCTGTGCATTCCCCGTTAGTTCTCTCTCCCGAGATGCAAAAGGAAGTCTCCTCTCGAACGGGGAGATGGAAGAGAGAAGTCGTCGCCGCCGCGAGGTGGCACCGCTCTTTCCTCTCTTCGAGGCGGACTTTATCATCTCCCACCAAGAGGAGAATTTCTCGCCTCCTCCTCGCTTGTGGTCCCACTACGTCTAACTGTAAAGAATAATTCCCTGCTGTTGCTGCTGGGCTGCGTTTCTTCTTTCAGGTGCTACTGCAAGTCTCGCACCGAACGATCCCGAGTTCTCCGTGATCGCGGGCTCTATTCATAAGCGATTTATGAATAGAGACTCGTAAATTCGTAAAATTACCAACGCAGCTTTTTGTGAATAATTACTTCCGAATGATTCAGCGTGGGATTAAGCGATTTTAAATACCGCTTGAAGAAAGTCTAGTCTAGTCAACGTAGACCATTTCCTTTCTTCATTTCATATTATTAACGCGGATTGCTTCAGTATTTTCTCTTCTCATGTCCACTTAATCGAGTAACATTGGTAGTCTGAAATATGCAAAGAAAGTCCAAAGTCATTGCTTTTTATTATTTAAATTTAAAATATAAAATGTAAATTGACATGACAAGGAATAATTCAAAATTCTTATTGTTTGTTTGTTTGTTTGATTGATTATGAAGATTAATTACAATTATAACGTTTTAATTGTAATATTATTGATCAAACTCTTTCACTGTTTCTTACAGAGATTTTGCATTTTTAATTAAACTAGAATTCGATAAAATGTCACGATTACTAGTTTGCTGGATGTGAATTAATGAATGTGAAAGCAATAAATCTAAGGTCTACTAAGTTTAGCGTTGTTAAATCATCTGTGAAATTAGGTTGGGCGTACATTAATTTTTCAACAAGTCTGCATTTTTAATTTTTGTGACTGGAATAAAACTAGCAGTCCCGAGTTGACGTCGTCAGCGTTTCGAGAATTCATTTCGCTCCTCGACACGCAGCCGGTTATCGAAAAAGCCTTAGACTGTCACTTCGATTTTTATCAGTTCGAGAACCAGTCGGATCAGTGTTGCGCAATGCACAGAGTGCAGTAGAATTTTCCATTGTTTTTTATGTATCGGAATTTTTGTAAAGTAACACCTGGTGGTTAAACCGCGAAGCGTATAAATACAGATAGATGAATTATTATTTCGTCGTAAATCAGTAATAAACTTGAAAATATCTAAGTATTATATATATATGAGCATTATTAGATATTATAATATCATATAATAAAATACCATAAATACCAAATAAACACAACGTGAAAATTTGTTTTTTATATAACGTGTATGTCTGTTGTCTCGTGGGAGAAAATAGAATATTGCTGTGACGGAAATAAGAATGACGGGAATAAGAATTGTCCTATTGCCCCGCAATATTGCACTTTTGCGAATTGTTCTATTTGCCCTATTTGCATGATTGTGACTCACGCTCTGGCGCCTTTGTCGATTTATTCGCGATGCAACCGCGGATCGTAAAGCTGTTTACAGTTGCAGCAAAAGCTGCAATTAGATTCCTCTTTTTTTTTCCGCAACCGCACATCGTGTCGCTCGCGAAAACAACGTGTATGCAAATTCATCATGCATCTTAATTATTATAGCGTGGCGATTTCCATTTACTCGTAATATCGAGATTGGCGCGCAAAAAAACATTCCGATAATTCGATTCTGTTCACAAGCGTAAAAAGACACCGAAGGCTTTCCTTCTTAAGCGAACGCGATCGACTTGTTATTATGTACCATCAGTAAATGACTGATTTTCCGCACGGTGAAAGTTCGAGAATATGGAGCGCAATTATGACAAATGCCTTGTTTATGGCAAGTGTTATTTTCTGCATTGCAACCGCGCTTTCCGCGAGCGAGCTTAAATCTGGAGCTCTAATACGAATATCATTAAATAATGCAAATATAATTCTACATAAAGACAATAACAGACTATTATTGTATATATTATTGTGACTATTCGCGAATGTAAATTAAATTTGTTTTATATACTGCAAAACATAACATAAGTTTTAATGTAATGTTGTATAAGACACAGATATAAATCTTATTTCTAATAATTACTGTTTTGTATTTATATTATCAAATAGTTACAAGAAAACGTTGCGGAGTTGCCGACAGCAGCAGACGATCTGGAATTAAACGTTGCTTTCTTTACCGCTGCTTCATCCATGGATTGTAGCGCATCAGACGTCTTCGTTGCGATCATGATTGATGGAAACTGCGCGTATAATTACGCCAAAGGTGCGAGGAGGCATACTCGTTCGGCGTGACGTAAAACGTAAAACTTTCTCGCGGTCAATAAACTCTCCGCGATAACCGATAACTAGCCGTCAAGGTGAAAACGATTAGATAAGTATATAGGATCCTCTGACGTTCGTGCATATATCATAAATGCGCGCGATGCTGTGTACTTACTCGTTAAATGCGCGTGAGCTATGTGCTCGTTTCAGAGAGGCGGCAAAACATTCAACTTCGACGAAAAGCGAAACAAATTCCTGTTAAATTACAGCATTGCCCGTCATTTACCAGAATAAAGATGTGAAAATTACTGAATTCTTAATCTTCACGAATCTGTAAGATAAGGTATGTTATGACAAAATGAAGAAATTGGTGCGGCTGTTGTTATCTCGGTGTTATTTAATTACGAAATTAAGAATAAATAAAGGTTTCTCAATATTCTAATGTTTTTAAATTATTCCTTAATTCTTGAATTCTATACACATAATATTTATATTTTATTATATGGCAATTATAGAAAAAAGAGGAGAAAGAATAATATAATAATTGTATAAAATAATTAAACAAATTATATAAATGTTATAGAACGCAAATGTACTTTGATACGTCATTGAATGTAACAAACAAGTCGAGTTTGTAAATTTTATAATGATATTAAGTCAGCAACACAAAACAGCTATTTAATGTACGACACACGTGGTTAGTACACGCCTTTTCTACTCGTAAATCCTTCTCAAAGCTACGAGAGTGTTTCCAGGTAAACATGATGGAAATCGAGAAAGGGGAATTAAAAAATATAATGCAGTATTTAAAAAAATAATGATATATGCATTAAAATTCTCATATTATCAGAAACGCTATCATATATCAATTACTAGATTAATAATTCCAATAAGTGCGAAACGGAGATATATCGGGTATATGACAATAAAAGAAAACGTCAAAGAGAAGAATATTAAATAGAATCTTCATTGCGTAAGCAATTTAAGGAGGTTAACTGCTAGAATTTAATTAATTACCGAAATAATGAAATCATGATTTAATAGACGCTCTCACAGAAAATACCTGCTGGCGGTGTCAGAGATTGATTTGAATACGGTTCACACGACTCGGTAATATCGTACGATGAGTTTCGTGTCGTTGCGAGGGGCTCGTCCCGGCCGTGAGAGACCTGACGATAAATTCTGTCGCGTGACGTGGAATTTCTGGCTCTTCGACTGGTTATCAGAAGCAAGCCGTGCCTACGCGGATAGTCGCGCTCGATTGGTCCAGGAGTGAGTAAACATGTTTTTTGTATAACACCGATCTCTTGTCGTTGCGTCGCCTAAGGACGACCGCGTTCATATAAAACAGGGGAGTGCCGCGGAAATTTCTGTATTTTACACCAGGAAAAGAAACGCCCGTGTCTCCGGAGAAAAGGATCGCTGGCGACATGAAGGACGAGCTCAAGGTAGCAAAACCGTTTTGATTATTCTGACAGATTAAAAGAATTCAGTGTGCAACACTTTTCGGAACGTATTTTCTGTTAAAAACAGCCTCTTTTTTTATTGTGGAAATGATAGCTGGAAAATTATCTGATCTAATTTTTAAATGGTGTCCCGCAAGTAACCCAAACTCTTTCGTGTAATTTTGTTTAGAATTTAGTGTATATTTCTCATTTTAAATAAGAGAGTATAAAATACTGACAGTAAAGAATATTTTGATATAGGAAAATGTGATATAGGAACCGCTGAAATCTAAACTAACGCTTGACATTGCAAGATAGTGTGTTAATTTAACGGGAAAAAGATAGAGTGCTTGTTCATCGAGAAGTGTCTTTTAGTATCTTACGGGATTCGGCTGTGAGTTCTCCAGCGAGGATGAGCGTTGTCCGGGAGCACTACCCATTGGGCAGAATAACCCGCAGAAGTGTCCATACGGTCTTTATGCCGAACAATTGTCGGGCACAGCGTTCACTGGTGAATAAAAATCCTTTTATTCTTGAATTTGTCTTTAAAAAACACTTCCTATTTTAATTATACGTTTTGATTTGATTCCTACACAGTTTCGACTTTTACGGTTGTCAAACAAAAAGTCAGTCAGTATAAATTTAGAACTTAAAAAAATTTAATTTCATCTAAAATTTGTCAATCAAGGTGTAAATTTATAAAGTGAAATAGATGGAAAATTTACGCTTTGAAAAAGGTAAACTTATTGTTAGCTCGAGTGCGATTACATTTCTGTCTCGAGTCTTTAACTTGTCTCTTATCAAATTTTGATAAAGAGAAGTCTTAAGATAATATGAATTCTGTAGTAATAAATGTCACTTGGTTTAAATTTTTTATCAACGCGATACTGAATCAATAGTTCAATTTTTTTACTTCCTTAATATATTGTATAATACTAGACATTAATTATTATTTAAAAATGCCAATTATTTTCATTTTTTAGCTCCGCGTGGACAAAATAAAAGATCATGGTTCTATCGAATAAGACCATCCGTTGTTCACAGCCCGTTCAAACCTTTCATTAAAATTCATGGAGCCGAATCTTATGTAAAAAACGATTGGAACGATACTCATCCTAATCCTAACCAGGTAAATTTTCGTAATATTACATTCAAGGATTCGGTGCAACAACGATTTAACTAGACGATTAATAGATATACATTTAACTTTTTTTTAGATCTTTTTTTTCTTTTTTTTTTGTCTTTTTCCTCCACGGTTTTTTTTAAGTTCACAGAAAAATAAAATATATCTCTGTTGTACTGAATATTTTCAATCTACGAACTATCGGAAGGTTGTTCGCGTTTCAGTTAAGATGGAAGACCTTTGACGTCCCGACTCGACGAGATCCCGAAGTCGACTTTATCGAGGGTCTTCACACTCTCTGCGGTGCCGGCGATCCCAAGATACGCCAGGGCGTTGCGGTACACGTGTATTTATGCAACGCTTCCATGAAGGATAGGGCTTTCTACAACGCTGATGGCGATTTTCTCATCGGTAGGTGGTTTTAAGAAATGCAACATCTACTTTTTTTTCTAAGGAAAAAAAGAATATACATATGTCAAATTTTGATTCCGGTTGCAGTGCCACAGTTGGGCGATCTGCAGATTGTCACCGAGTTCGGCAAGATGCGATGCGAGCCGAACGAGATATGCGTCATTCAGCAAGGTATGCGATTCTCCGTGACCGTCTTTGGCCCGTCCAGGGGTTATATCCTCGAGGTCTTCGACAATCATTTTCAGCTGCCCGAATTGGGACCAATAGGTAATTCGATTCGAAGAATTAATTGTGGAAGTAGCTTATAACACTTTTTTTGTAGAAACTTAAGAAAATTAATCCACATTCCCAATTCTCTCAACGTTAATGGTAAATAAAACTTTCGTATTTTATCTTCGAAACCAAGCTGTTGAAAAACAACATAATGTTGTTATGCTGTCGTTGAACAATTACATCTCTTCCACTAGGGAGATTCGATACATTCGCATTTCCTTAATAAGCGGATTAATGAGCTGGGCTGTGAATTAAATGCGCAGGGGCGAACGGTTTGGCGAGCCCGAGAGACTTTCAGACACCGGTGGCTTGGTACGATGATCGCGAGATCGATTACGAGATCATATGTAAATATCAGGGAAAGCTGTTCGTGGCCAATCAAGGTCACAGTCCCTTTGACGTCGTCGCATGGCACGGTAATTACGTACCGTACAAATACGATCTCAATAGGTTCATGGTCATCAATTCCGTTTCCTTTGATCACTGCGTGAGTATAAACAATATACATATACATAACGCAAGGGAAAAGCTTATTAACGATTTAATATTATTTTCAATAGTAAATTGCGTTACTGCTTTTTCTTTAATTTTCTTTAGCATTTTACATTTTTGTGTTTTAACGTAACAAACATACATACGTGCGATAAGTAAGATTTTTTTAAATTCTTCTACATATCCATCGGATGTTTCGGATTTTATCATGCTCATTCTCGGAATGTTAAGTAGCTCAATTAATTCCGCAGGATCCTTCCATCTTCACCGTGTTGACGTGCCCCACTAACAAGCCTGGAACCGCCGCGGCCGACTTTGTTATCTTTCCACCCCGATGGTCCGTACAGGAGCACACTTTCCGACCCCCTTATTATCATCGTAAGTATATTCCTAGAAAGTACATACCTTTTGCGTTCATTATACGCGCCGATGTACAGATGAAACTGACCTGTGTAAACTTTTCTTAACGCGATTTAACGAGGGAAATTAAAGTGTATGCCAATAATATTTAATAAGATTACTGGATTACTTCTATAAGTGCTTCATAATTTCATGTAGTTTGTTTAAATTTATAATTAAGCAAGAAAAAAATGCTAATTTGATAAATATCGTTCCAAATTATAGGAATATGTAAAAAATTGTAGAAATTATAGTTAAAGATTAGATATTGTATGATATTTAAGGGACTTTATTAGATATTATATTTTTATATAGATATTGTATTTTTAAGGGTATTTAAGGTAAACGTCTTAGATACTTGACATATCTTTCAAGTCTCTTTTAAACTGGTTCTTTGGTTTGCTTGGTAACCGCTTGGTATATCTTGATTAAACTACCGATTCGACGATCCGTGACGCGTTTACTAAACACGGTATACCACCAAGAAATTGCGAATTCTGCGGCTCTTTTCCCTGTCGCCGATCCCGTGGGGTCGATTACACGCGGCAAGAGTTCGAGCGCGAGTGCACCGTCGTACTCGACTCGGCGGCGTCTTCGTTCCAGAAGAGCGCCCCTGAAAATTGTGAAACCGAGTTGGCTCGGAGAAAACTTGAAATTTTTCCTGGCGACCGATCGCACAATGTCTCTTTCCCCGGTAGGTCGTTTCACCGATTTCCTGTCACGCCGATCGCAATATGCCGATCGATTATGACGAGACGGGACGGACCACTTTCGTTCGATGTCGCGATTATTCTCGTCATATTCCGCTGCGTTATCGCGCTCTCTTGTTGAGAAAGTCCGTCGCGTGCAAGGAGAAAGACGGGTAGGCACGATGTGCCTATCAACGAGGTTGCATTCTTACGAGTTGAGTAATTGAAAACCACAAGAAGCGGCCATTATCGGTGTCTTCAATGTGTACCATTCCGTGGTACAGAAGTTACGTGCAAAATTATAGGATCGATCGGCGAGTAATTGTGACAGCGGACTATAAACGCGCTGTGATAGTTTCCAATCGTAAAGTTAATGCCGATTATCGGGAATCTTATTAAAATTGACGAAGGCTCGCTTAATAGCTGTGATAAATAAGTGGAGAGTAATTGGCATTTTTGTTATCGGTGAATATCGAAAGTGTGTATACATATATATATATATATATGCGTTTATTATGAAGGAAACTATATATACTTATTCCGTAATTATTCTGAAATCGATGGAAAACGGCTACGAAAACGTGACTAAAAATTGTATCCTTGTGAGACACTTTTATTACTTTTTATAAAAGTATTTTATGAAATAAAATTCAATGATAATTGGCTAAAGATAACTTCTCTTTAATCTTAATTTTATGAGTAAAGATTTCTAATATAGATTTTCTATCATTTATACTTCTATTAATTTTATACTTCTTACTTAATTCTTCAATTCAGTTAATTCACTTCGTATTTAGTTCTATTTCATTTTTCTTATTTTCAATATTTCTAGAACACTGGAATTTAATTAATATAATAGTTCAATTAATTAAATCTTTATATACATTGCATTGATATTTATACAATTTTGCTAATGTGAAACCGCGCAACAACGTACGAGGCTACAAGCAATACATGTCTCGAAATATGTTTTAGCACCAGTAAGAGTAGCCGTTCGCTGCTTTCTCCGAGATTTGATAACCAGTATAGCGGCCTATTCAATGCGGGCCATTCTCCACGTTAATGAATAAATCGGCGGCGCGTGGAGAGCGATAATATGCAAAATACACGTAATTTCCATTGCAGATCCGGCCGCTGCGTCTTGTTGCGCGATCGCGAATCGCTCGTGACGTATACGCGCCCGCATGTCGACTTGTTGATGGCATCCATCGACGATGAGGATATTGAGGATTAACGTTGACGGATTAAGTCGGTCCATTGTTGATATTAAATGAATCATTCAGCATCTGCCAACACCGAGTTATGCGTTTCGCGAGAAGTTTTGTCGATATAATGATATTTGACATTTATAAAGTCAAATCGTAGCTGTTATTTACAAAGAATTTTATCGGCGAATGTTGGAACTTGTATGAGCGAGTATTGATACATTCCAATAATTTTTTCTTGTATTTTTTTAACAAGACGCGAATATTTCGTAGAATTGATTTGCACTATTGACGCAGTTAACGATTCAGCGCGGTTTATTTTGAAATTTTAACTACTTTAGATAATTCGAAAGAGACAATGAGCTATTTTTATCTTTCTTTATCTTTTTTTAGAAACGTAATTTATGTTATACTTGTGGCTTATAAATAAAATACTAAAAAGTAACTTTTTTCTAATTGCTAATAATTAATAATATTATTAGGTATTTACTATATGTTTGTCTATCTTTTTCTTTATCTAATGTCTTTTACTATAACTTATATTCGTAACATATAATTCGTATATTCAATAACTCTGGCATTCTGCTATCGGATTCTCAGGAAACTGCATGAGCGAATTTATGGGATTAATAAAGGGCCGCTACGAGGCAAAGGAGGATGGTTTTTCTGCCGGTGGTGCATCGCTACATTCCATTATGACTCCGCACGGTCCCGATAAACAATGCTTCGAGGCTGCGTCCAATAGCGAGCTGGTGCCAGAACGGATCGCTGACGATACACAGGCCTTTATGTTCGAGACCTCGTATAGCATGGCCGTGACAGAATGGGCCAGTAAGCTTTGCAATAAGCTGGACGACGACTACTACAAATGCTGGCAGGGTCTACAAAAGCATTTCGATCTCACTGATAAGCAGGCCAAAATTGCTTAACAAGTATGTTGAACAACATATCCACGTCTCTATCTTAACGTATTCACGAGGGAGACACTGTTGTCAGCTCTTAAAATAAATTTTTTACATCTCTTTTTCTCTCTTATTATTTTTGGACATTTTATTTTAGCAACTCTGTGTCATCTTCGATAAAAGAAAAAAAAAATATTTCGATGATTTATTTTGATAAAAAGAAAAAAACAAGCAAGTGAGAGCTTTTTTTTGTTTTTTCTTTTAATCGCAACTAAAAGTCTTTCAGATATTTCTTACTAATAAATTATTATTATTATTGGTAATATAAACATAAACAAATATTGATATTTTTGTTATTGAAGGAGTGCGCTTTGCGATCTTTCTCTTCTTTG